GTGAAAGAAAAAAAACATGGAGTATTATTTCATGCTACCCTACACACACACACACACACAGACCGGGTTGAATCCTTGGTCAACGGACTCTTAAATCTCGTTTAGTCCGTAGTAAAGTCAGAAAAAAAATGGACAACTGGGCATGAGGCTAGAAACTCCAGCCCGCATATACAGAAAACACAACCTCTACTAAAACTTGAAGCGAAGAACCAAAAACACATATTAGTGGGATCAAGGACGCATTGGCTTAAGCAAGCTTAACAGAATATCCACTGAGTTCCTTCGTTCTCAAAGAGTCCTCACTAATATTTAATTCACGAGAAATACGCATTTATAAAGAGATGGATGGATTTTTCTTCATGAATCGAGGATGTGTACCTTATCCTGTTTGGAAATCTCCCACTGAAGGTAGCCCGCACCGATAACTTTCAAAACACAAAACCATTATCCACCGAAATACCTATCCTGAATCCCACTGCTGCTCACCACCACCAGTCAGGATAACTTCACGTTGATCCTCAGACGTCGTTGAAGCATCCGTTCTAGAAGCCAACAGGTCAACTAGAGATATCGAGGATTACGGTCCAGCATAGTCAAATAACGGGAAATATAAAATTAATTAAAAACTACTCGCAAACCACTTAAATCATATGCGTAATATGAACAGTTATAGGATTATTTTCTATAACATTAACACTGAAACTATGCTATATTAAATTTAAGTGATGCAGAAACTGTCTTATTGAGACGTTATTCCTATCACCTATGAGCAGTGAAAAGTTATACAATGATACAAATTGTATTAGATGGTTGGAGGCAATCGGCAGGAAGCCTTGCTTGACCTAAGTTTCCTGCTAGGCGGCACTCACCAGTCAGCAAGGCGTATCTGCAACCAGCTCGAAGGAACTAGGTGACGCGGCTTGGAATCTTAGACAAGGGATATGAGTTCCTTCACGCCTCATCACACATACGCCTTGCTGACTGGTAAGTGTCAACTAGCACGAAACCTAGGCCAGGTAGAACTTCCAGCCGATTGCCTCCAACCATCTAATATCAACAATTCAAAGTACACTGTGATGGCAAGCTACCTAGAATGGTGCCCACATTGCAAACATGACTGATAGAATTCAGTCTACACCAAACAGAGGACTAGACACACATTACACTAGGCACTGACTGGTGTCCAGTCAAAGGATACAAATTGTTCATGTACTAAGCTCAAAACTTATGAATAATAATGCTCACTAAATTCATTTGATTCCTATACATATATATATATATATATCTTCAATATGATACCCAGTGGAAGAAGAAGCAACAAAGATAGGAAGGACTTCAGGTGAACATTGAGCAAACAGAGGTAGGTGATGAAGATTCCTGGCCAGCAGCAACAGCAACAACAACAGACAACAATCAGCTAGTATAAATGGGAGAAATCTGAAAAAAGCAACCTTCTTTGCCTACTGACCTACCTGGGAAGCATCGTTTCAACTACAGGCGGACGGAACTGATGAGGATATCAAAGCAGCGAGGATCGGGAAAGCAAGGCAAGTCAAGCTTTCATTTCTCTCAAGTCTGTGTGGAGGTCAACAGCATTCAGCATGGAAAATAACACACTCATTTTCAACTTCAATGTGAAGTCAGTGCTACTTACTATACGGATCAGAGACTTGGTGCGGCGTCATGAAGAGCACCTTAAACAAACTACACACCTTCATCGACAGCTGTCTTCGCTCAATACTACTCAAGATCAGATGGCCGGCCATAAAAGATCAGCAACAGCAACTGGCGATGAACGAACCAACCCAGCAGGAACTGATTGTGCAACAAATATGCAAGAAGAAATGTAGGTGGATTGGAGGCCATACTCTGAGGAAACAAACCATCAAGTGACATCACACGCCAGGCCATTGCTCGAATGGAACTCGAATGAGAAGCGGCGAGTTGGTCGTCAGTGCGAGGGTGGGGTGACACGGAGGTGATGTGAAGAGGAGATGAAAGTATATGGACAGACGTGGAGCCATGTGAAAAGGTTGGCAGAGAGCCGAACGCAAGGGAGACGTGTGGCTGAAGCCCTATGTTCCTCCAGGGACTAAAGGAAACGATAGTACTAATAATAATAACAATAATAATAGTAATAATAGTGATTCCCACTACAATGAATGGTAACAAAGATCAGTCTGGTCATTTAAAAAGAATTAAAACGATCCACACCACAGTACAAACGTGTTGATATCATATTATATTCCATTATATTTAAAACTACACTCTACTCGACTGTGTAACATGCTGACTAATTAACCAACAAAGTCTACTGCTAAATGACTGAATTTCAACACAGAACTTTGCAAAGAAGTGTACCAGTTCAAACTTAGTACACTCTAAACAGTATATTAAGGTACAGAAAAGCAATAAAAAAGGAAGAGTAGCAATAATAATTACACATGAAGGTTTAGTAGATATTGGAGCCTACAAAAAGTGAATGTATCCGCACCACTGAGAACAATTTTCAGCCATATCACTAATAGTCTCTCCTGGCTGGATTCAACATAGAACTTGGCACTGAAGTGCAGCAGTTCGAGTTCCTACGTTCCAAATAGCACACAAAGGTAAACAACAAATGAGTGAAGAGAATCAATAGAGTTTTGACAAGTATAAGAGTGAAACAGAATGAGTAATGGTAGAAAGGAATATGATAGATTAAAGAGACTGAATACATCTGCGCTATTGACAACGATTTTCAGCCATGTCACCTATTGTCTCCAGCCATTGATTCTTAGAGTCCCGAGGGCAGGCCCCAACCCGGAAGTCTGCATCTCCCTCCCTACCTGACTCAGTTTAACTGTCAAGGATTTCATGGTTGATTGATGCGATGTTTTTGTTTGGCCACCACTTACTCTTTTCCAACCTGCACCTAAATCAGCTAGTAATGTCCGTCGGGGGAGGCGATGGTTAGGCATGCGCAGCACGTCACCTAGCCATCTCGATGTATGCAGCTTTATAACCTCGTCGAATGATTTTCCCTCATTGCCCAACATTGCTTACCTTATTATACCACCTAACGTGAGAAAGAGATCGTAAACATCTATGATCAAAAACAGACAACCTTTTCATATCTTCAACTCGTATTGGTCATGTTTCAGAGCCATAGAGAAGGACGGAGCGAACTGCTGGGCAGTACACACGTCCCTTGGTTGATAATCGGATGTCACAATAGTCTCTCCAGTTGACATTGGTTTTTAGTACCCAAACACTCGAAAATCAGGAAGTCAACAACTTCCCCTTTTTTATTGGCTGGTTCAAAACAAAAGTTAGATATTTAATAGACTGATGCCATGTATCGATTTGATCACCACGCTAACTCCTTTCCAACTCAACCTTTGCTAACTCCATTATGGATAAAATTTCATCTTGATAAAATCACACAGTGTGTTTATTATACAGTAATATTTACTACTGATGACCACATTTCGAGCATAATTTATTGCCACGCATAATCAAATCGTATCAAGACAATACTCACACTACCCACTTTCTTGCTTCATTTATATATACATGAGTAAAAATGGATGATTAGACAATTGAATAAAATCACCATAAGATAAAGTACATTCGGAAATAATATTCCCGATATTCCCAATAAAATACAATAGGATGGGACACAAGACGAGTTCAAAGCAGTTAGTCCCTTTTATAAATTTGTATAGTGTTATATTAGAAGACGGAGATTATCTGACCTCTGACCCTAGCTAAATTCTCATGTTCTGATAATTTGACTACTCCCGATCTACTAGTTCGACCTCAATCACAGTTATTGCAAGGTATTTTGTAAATTATATTATTTTGTTTAACATAGGCTTAGTTAAGTGTCTAACAAACCGAGCAATAGCACTAAGTAGTACAACAAAAAAACCTAAACGATGAAATGAAACAAATAGAAGAGGCGTTCGTGTTAAATGACTATCGTATAAAATTCATTAGGAATATCAACCCTACAAACTCACTCAGGTAGGACAAACTATGTACGCTAAAGGACCCTATCGGTTGACCCAATTGAACAAAACAATAAAATTTACAAAATATCCTGCAATGACTGTGAGTTAAGTTAACTACATAGGTTAGACTAGTAGATAAGGGGTAGTCAGATTTTCGGAAACAAAAATTTAGCTAACGTTAGAATTATTGATTCCACGAAGATAAGTAATTTAGAAAAAAGCTCAGCGATTGCACTGCATGCATAAACACGCAAGCACACAATCGGGTGGGAGAGGTTTAAAATTCGAAGAAGTAATGTAAGTAGGTGGAGACAAAGAGAGATTGATTACCGAATCCTGGTTCATTGAGTCTACACCCAACACATGCAACAGAAATGACTCAATGCAAATACCAGAGATATGGAAGATATTATTACCAGTCAAATCAGAGGATAATAATAAATAGTGTTAAAATGTATTTCAGTCCACATTATAACATTCTAAAAGGTTGCTTATTTTAACCATAAAACATCTTATTCCCCATCTTTTTGACTAACAACACTCGTCTTGTTTCCTATCCTATTGTATTTAATTGATAACACTAATATCATTCGGGCTCGCGATTGACCTCCTCTAGGACTGTAGTGGATACTTTGATTGCACACTAGTCAGTAACTAGTCAGTTATGCGTCTGGTCCTTTCTTTGGTGCAGACTGAATTCTATCAGTCAGTCAGGTATTTGCAATGTGGCCACCATCAAGCTAGGTAGCTCGCCATCACAGTGCACATTGAATTGATAAACAAACTCAAACATACGAAACAAGCAAGTTAACTGGTTCACTCTCACAAGTGCATAATTACATATTAAGTGAAAACACATTATAAATTTGAAACAAGTAATTAGGCTTTTATTGTCTAATTGTCATAAACAGAAGCAAAAATTACAGGAAAGTAATTATTGATAATCACAAAAAGAAATTAATACGAGGGAAGAGAGATATGTACAAAAGCGAGAAATGCGCTAATTGATACAGTGTCGTCACAAATTATTAATAATAATAATAATTACGAGTGTATATATAAGCTGTTGAACATGCATGTCGATTGAGCAAGCGAAAAAAGCTGCAAAAATTAAAATAATATCTGTATATATATGTACATAAAGTAATACTGGATACTCCCTGAGATCATAAAATTTGGGTTACTGTTGTTATGGTTTTGCTGAGAGATGATCATTAGTCATAGTTTATAATCCAGCATAGATAATAATTTGGCTTGATATATACAATCTATAGAGAAATACAATATAAGAAATATAACGGCATAAACAATAAATTTAAATTCTTGTAAGCGTTATATATATATAGACATGATACACAAAAATGGAATATTAAGAAGGTTCATTTTGCAGAAAGTCGACATGGACGCACTAGATGCAGAATTCCGACCAGAACAAGCTGGATTCAGGAAAGGCAAATCATGTTCTGACCAAATTGCTACCCTACGCATAATCATCATCATCGAACAAAGCATGGAATGGCAATCAAACCTCTGCCTCAACTTCATAGACTTTGAGAAGGCCTTCGACAGCGCAGCGTTGACCGCGAAGTAATTTGGAAACTACTAGAGTACTACGGCGTACGTACCCCAAATATTCATCAACCTTATTCAACAGCGCTGTACGACAACGGCACATGTCAAGTGATCCACAACGGAAAACTCAGCGAAGCGTTTGGAGTAAACACAGGAGTCAGACAAGGGTGCTTATTATCACCAATGATATTAATAGTTGTGGTGGACTGGATTATGCGTCAGACAGTGGGAAACGAGAAGACAGGGATATCCTGGACCGACGTGAAGAACCTAGAAGACCTGGATTTCGCGCGTGGATGATTTATGTTTGATGTCACACAAAATCGAAGACTTACAAGCGAAAACTGACAAACTGGTCGAAGAAGCAGCAAAGACAGGACTCCAGGTAAACATAGACAAGACGGAGGTTATGAAAATAACCAACCAACAACAACAACAACAACAGCAGCAGCAGCAACATCCAGCGCCAATCACCATCAACGGAAGGGATTTGAAAGAGGTTACTTCACTCACTTATCTAGGGAGCATTGTCTCAATTACAGGAGGAACGGACGAGGATGTCAAATAGAGAATCGGGAAGGTGAGAAACACATTCATCAACCTGAAACCAATCTAGAAATCTTCGTTACTCAGCATCAACAACAAAATACGGATCTTCTATACAAACGACAAGTCAGTCAGTTCTTCTATACGGATCAGAAACTTGGCGGGTCACAAAGAATATTTCCAAAAAGTTGCAAGCCTTTATCAACAACTGTCTTCGCTCTATACAACTGAACATCAGATGGCCGGAAAGAATCACCAACAAGAAACTATGGGAACAAACAAACAAAACAAGGACCAATCGCTCGACAAATATGTAGGAGAAAGTGGAGATGGATTGGATATTCGCTGAGGAGGCCGTTGGGTGACATCGCGCGTCAGGCCAGTGCTCGAGTGGAACTCGAAAGGGAAGCGGCGAGTGGGACGTCCAAGGGTAACATGGAGGAGATCGTGTGAAGAGGAGTTGAAACAGTACGGACTAATATGGATGCAGGTGAAAAGTACAGCAGAAGATAGAAGCAAGTGGAGACGTGTAGTTGAAGCCCTATGTTCCACTAGGAACCCAAGGGAACAATAATAATAATAATAGAACATGGAAGAGAAAAACTCATGAACTTGAGAGCACATTTGCCAACTTAAGTTATTGCTGATTATATTCTTTATAGTGTGGTATTCAACATCAAACAAACTGCCGTATTTCATGACCTCTAAAGGTGGAATTCGACTCCAACAACAGAGGTTACTATGACAGTATATGGCAGTGGCATCGTACTAAGCAAGGCAATCCACTTGGACTCCACGTTGTAACGATAGAAGACAAAGGCTAGGCGATAGATTGTTTATTGAGAAAAACAAGAGATATTCATAGATTTTTATGCACATCATTGTTAGAGGAGAGAAGCAACCTCTTCTGATTTATTGTATGTTTTTTTTTGCTGGAGGTTATTCTGTACTGTTTGTGTCCATTTCTCAAAAAGTTAAGCCATATATCAGCGAATCGTATTTTCACGCTCTATGTCCTCTGTGATTGGTTGGTGAGTCTCTCAAGGTTAAACTTTGTTATTGTTTTTTCTCATGACGCTGATTCGGGACGTAACATTGACGTAAATTGTTGTTTACAATTTTGGCATGTTCGCAACCAGCTCTCACCACAATGCAACTGTGTAAGAGCTTACGGACATTTACCATCTAAAATAGTGACAACTAGTGGTGTCCATCAGGGATGCCCACTATCACCATTTCTCTTTAGATTTGTCATAGATGTACTAATGGAATTAACCTTAACTGGCCTCATCGACTTGGGGATTAACTTGTTACTACCAGGGAATAATATCGTTGACTTAGAATATGTATATGAAGACGCTGACAAAATAAAGTAGAGAGTCTTCTAAACACCTTGAGGAGTAGCAATCTTCGAGTGTGTGGCATACGGTTCGCCCTTATCAAATGTAAGATGATGCTACAGGACTGAACTACATCGACTAACTCCTAACTTGAAGAGAAGTAGGAGTGAGGTGGTTGGTGGAGCGTGTTGACCACTCCACTTATATTGGAAGTTGCGTCAACCAGAACCAGAGGGTTGATCGTTGACGAAATCTCAGCATAAGTACAGGAGGCTTGTTTAGCATCTGCCAACTTACGCCATTTCTGGCGTACACAGGATATCCGGCTACCGAATAAAGAGATATGTGTAGCGAACAGAACAGAAGTTCGTATTGTCCTTCTTTATGAATATGAAACATGGCGATTGAAAGTGGAAGACGTGAAGAGTCTACTTGTTTCTGACCACAGTTGAGTTCTACCTGCCGTGTTACTTGGTATAATAGGGTGAGTACTATTCAGGTTATCAGATAGGGTATCAGATACAGAGAGGAAGTCAACTGATGAAATTGTGAAGCTATATCGATTGAGATGGCTCTGTCACGTGATATGTCTTCCCCGACAAGCAATGTCAGCTGACCTGGGAGTAGGTTGGAAGAGAATTTAGAGGTGGTCAAGCCAAAACATACTTCGCCGATGATATATGTCTGATTTCCCACAAACTGGAAGATATGCAAATGAAAAGCAACAAGTTGGCAGAAGAAGCATCAAAGATAGGACTTCAGGTGAACAGAGAAAACAGAGGTGATGAGGATTCCTGGATAACAACAACAACAACAGACAACAATCAGCATAAATAGGAGGAACCCGAAAGAAACAACCTCCTTTACCTACTGACCCAAGAAGCATCGTTTCAACTACAGGCGGACGGAACTAATGAGGATATCAAAGCGAGGATCAGGAAAGTAAGACAAACTTTCATTACTCTGAAGTCTGTTTGGAGGTCAGCAGCACTCAGCACTCAGTGGTTAGGACTCTCGCCGACCATGCACATGGTCCGGGGTTCGATCCCCTGCCGGCGCACACCCGATATCTATGGTGAGCCTGAATTTGGGCTACCGATATCCATGCTGAAAATCCCATACTTGTACTGAAAATACGGTGTGGAATCAAGCTGTAAATCAAAAATAAAAAAAAATAAAATAAAATGAAAATAAGATCCGGATTTTCAACTCCAATGTGAAGTCAATCAGTGCTACTATACGGATCAGAGACTTGGCACCGCGTTGCGGAGGCCACTTCGAACAAACTACAGACCTTCATCAACAGCTGTCTTCGCTTAATACTCAAGATTAGATGGACAGAAAAGATCAGCAATAGGGACCTGTAAGGAGCAAACTAACCAGGAACCGATTGTGAAACAAATAGGCAGGAAGAAATGGAGATGGATTGGCCATACTCTAAGGAAGCCATCAAGTGACAGCACTAGACAAGCCTCGAGTGGAACCTGAAAGAGAAGCGGCGAGTTGGTCGTCAGTGCAAGGATGACTTGGAGTAGGTCATGTGAAGAGGAGATGAAAACGTGTGGGCAGACATGGAGCCAGGTGAACTGAACGCAATGGAGACGCGCAGCTGAAGCCCTATGTTCCTCTAGAAATTAAAGGAAACAATAATAATAAGCCAAAACATGTCATCAGTCCATGAAAACCTTAGCAGTTGGTTTGCGTCACGTAAGGAGGCGTAGACTGTCTGGCTGGGGCCCTCGGCCATCGGCAGCTGGAAATTATCGGTGATCTGGGTTAAAAGCGTTTTCAGTAATGCAGACGCATTTACTCTTTGTGACCCCCCGCCCCCACCACATCCATCAAACCATCATTTTTTTCCATGTTGGTATTCTTTCTCCTTGACCTGCTGAATGAGTCATAATGAATCCGCAATATTTGCAGTCATGACACTATGCAACAGGGGCTCAGTGTTCCAAAAAAAGTATTCCCATCACAAAATCCTTGGAACCTACACCACCAAAAACAGACAATTCCCATTCTCATAAAACTTCTGTATCTGAACCAGCAATTCAGTGGAGACGCATCGGCAAGAATACTAAGATACTACTTGTTCCAGTCATTGAGGGAAACCTTCGCAATGATTCCCATTAGAAGAAGTGAAGGATAAGCAAGCACTACTGAACTTGTCAATGAATATCTATCAATTCATCAACTCCTGTGGAGCTTGGCATGTCATTCGTTCTCAGCATTTGCTATCCAAACGTGCCATGCCACATGTTAAAGCCATCCAGGATCAGCAGAGCATGACAAATTTTCACTACTCTGAAACCAGCATGGCAATCTGCTGCATTCAGCCTCCGGAATAACGTTAGAATGTTCTAGACTTGTGTCATATCAGCGCTTCTACATGGTTCAAAGAGACTTGGCGCATGCGTTACCAACAAGCATTTCCAATAGCAACGCTGCAGACTTTCACCAACAGCTGCCGCCTTCACTCCATACTGGAGATCAGACAGCTGACTAGAAACGATTGGCAACAAAGAACGCTGGCAGTGCAATGAACCGGAAAAATTCTATTTCTCTAAAAATATGACAAAGGAAATGGAGACAGATTAGATATATACTAAGGTGACTGTTGAGTGACATCACACGCCATGCAGCCCTTTGAGTCAAGCCCAAATGGCAAACAACGAGTTGTCCATCCAACAGTGACATGGAGATCGTGTGAGGAGAAAAATAAAAAATTTCGGGCATTCGTGGAGTCATAGACTACAGAGAACAGGGTGAAACAGCGATACGCAGCCGGACCACGCCTAAGTTCCACTCGG